AATATATCAGTTTAATGTATTATTAAGAAATAATCCGACGAGAAAGAAGCCTGCCGAGTCAAAATTTCAATTGGCTATTGTTATGCAAGAATGATCCAATTAAAAAAATTAAACTTCTATCAATGAATATTCCATTCACATCTTTTTAAAACAAACAAAAAGAACTCAAACCTTATATATGCTTGAAATAAATTAAGAAACAGTTATTTATTTTTTATCAGTCACGTCTTTTTGCACATTTTTCTAAGAATTGAGCTAGTCAGTACTCTTAAAGAAATGGAAATGCTTGACTCGTTGAACTATTGCGACAATCTCAGAGCTAAATTCTTTGGTTGGATCATTTTTACGTAACTCCGGCGAATTGCAAATTCCAATTCTTACTTTACTTCCCGTCGGACCCAATGCGATTTACGTCTACGTGCATGCAATCTACGTAAAGTGACGCTTTGTTTCTACTATATGTGCGTCTAAATTGAGCGCTCACCATTGCGCGTTGTCCCACGGTGTCCAGGGCCCACCAGCCATCCTGTCGCTGCATCTGACACTGCAATGATCCTCGCGTCCCACGTCGCCTATCACTTAGATTCACTCCCGACCGTGGTAATTTAACAGAGATTTCACGAAAAATCCCGTCTCTCATTGGGAATACACTTCGAGTTGCGAATTACGTATGAAATATCGCGAACTACATCTTTGAGGAAATGTCGGCCTTTCAGATAAACGAGGAGTATGTGCGACGAATTCAGCCACGGTCCGATCGAGTTGTAGTGCATCGCTTTGATACACGCGCGACGCAAATCGCTTACGAAGAAAACGGAATCTGCGAGCGAAGGGAACACGCGACGCGAATCTAAGGCCAATCTCGCGAAATCTTTCGACGCGTGGGCGAAGTAATCTGTGCGAGATTCTCACGTACAATACGGAATTTCCTTAATATAACGTTTCGATGGTGCAGCGTGATAGGCTGCAATACAGCTCCGCAATACTTTTGCGAAGACAATGCTTTTGCGGATAATAACTCCGCAATATTTCTGCGAAGTTCGCTCGCGACTCTTCCGCAAATATGCTCCGGTGAAATTCGCAAACCTATCAAATTAATAATCGCGAACGCGAACGTGAATGAAAAAGCTATGAAAATTGTGACGACAGAGATAAATATTCTATTCAAAATTTATGCGGAAAAAATATTGCGCGTGAGTCTGTCTTCGTTCAATGGAACTTGTCGCGCGTCGCGTAAGTAAACAACTGCTCGCATATCTTACTTGTGTACATCGTGTTTTTCGCGAGGGATCAACGCTCGCTAGCATTGTCTCTATTGTGTTAGGAAACTCTAAGTGAAAAATTGAAACCTGAAAATTTTCTGACGATCATGAAATTAATTTCGCGAGCAGTTTAATCACGTTAGATCGTTTCGCACAGGCGCCGCATGATTTCGAATTTTATTTAATAATGACCTCTGTACTTTACGAAATACAATCGCGAGAGAGAAAACTGAGAAAATTAACGACGGAAAATCTATCGAGGCGGGTGATGTGATTGCGCATTTTCTGTAGCGCAATCTCTGTGGCGCAATTTTTGCGCGTTGGCGCACTGATCGAGACACATGGAAGATCGCGTTCAATAAAACTGAATAATTTTACAAAATTTTGCATTCAGAGCATATACTCCATACTTTAATGGCATTTTCTAAATAATGTTTAATTAATCAAAATTTTCTTCAACAAAAATCATTAATTTAAGTAAGTCAAACAATTAATAAATATATATACATTGGGGAAGAAATATTTCCAAAATTTGCCAAATTTATAAAAATACATAATTACTAATATTATTATTTGTGAAAGCGATCTTTTAATTGCTTCGAACAGTGTACTTTATTGGACTGCACATACACACACTACACTACAGCAAAGTAAATCGCATTGATTTATAAACATGCACTACATGGAAAGACTTTTGTCTCTCTATTACTAATTTTTTTTGACTCACCGACTCGCCGATCAAGGCAACCGATCACGTTCTGCTTTCGTTTCTGGAACAGAAAAATGTTTCGCCGATTAGATTCGTGCATTGATGTTGGTTTGAGTGAAGAAGTTTACAATATCAAAAAAAAATAAACGCGCAATATTTTTTACGCTGGGAGAATTTTTCGAAATGCGTTCACACTTACAATATTCTACACTTTTCTTTTTCTCGATGTTTTAAATAAATTTCTTTCAAATAATTAGAACAAATCAATATTTTTCAAATGGTGATGTTACTCAGGAAAAAATTCTCCCTGCATGTAATTACAATTTAACGCGATCTTTGACTCGATTCAAATTATCTTGATTTCGCAAGAGAATTATCAATATAGCAAGAGAATTATCAATATTATTGAATTTATAATTACAAATACTAAAGAGAAACTAACCTTCGAGCTAATCCCGCTTAGCCCGAGTCGGATCCTCCGGCGCAGCAGCCCCTAAGAGTTGGCTGGTCATCTGCTTCGTCTCTGCAACATAAAGCACATTTAATTTAGTATTATATACGACAATGGTGGCATTAAGGAACTTGATTCCAAACAAAAGAATTTCCAGTTTTATTGGATTTCTAATTACGAATTTAAATCAGTGAAACTCACCTTCGCGCCAACTCTGCCAGGCTCGAGCCGAATCCTCCGGCGTGGCATCCTCCAGGCATCGCATTCTCTAGAGCCACGTGACTACGTCTTCTCTATTAGATCTCTGTGACAGAAATTTAATTTAATATCAATTAGTGATTTAATAAATTAGTATCAAATAGTTATACGCGACAGCAAGACGGTAAAGATAAATTGTAACGGCACGTTTGAATTCCTTCCCAATGCGCAATAAAAAATAATTAAACGATAGCCGAATAAAGAAATAATAATTCCCGATTAATTATAAGGCGATGATAGTAATGTTTGATCGACAATCGTATAATAATGTCCGGTAGTATCAATTAATTACACACGATAGCAAGACGAGGTAAGAAAATCGTCGTAACGGCACGCTCGAGTTGCTTCCCAATACGTAATAAAAATAGTTAAATAACAACCGTATAAAGAAATAATAATACTCGAATAATAAATGGATGATGATAATATTTGATCGGTATTGAGGAATTCGATCGCGATGTTTCTCTATCTAATAAGTAAAAAAGTAAATGAAACGCGGTAATTATTCGCTGCGGTAAAGTCCACATCTGATCGTGATAAGTATGTATCCCAAATTGTGTTAATTATTGCCTTAATTGTGGCGAAGTCAAAATGTGGTATCAAAAATCGGCGCGAAATAATTTAGAAAATAACGCGGCAGCTCCCGCGATACGTTCGCCTTGGCGGCTGATAGCGTTATGGCGTGACGCGCGTCTGGCCGCCCCCCCCCCCCCCC